AATTTAAATTTAAATTAGAAACAAGGTTGCTTCACAAGTCAGTTCCAGGTCCCTCTCCGTTTCCCTCCCCTCCTCCTGTGCCCTCCCCCCAGCCCCCCCAATATCCCCTCAATTCCCCAGGGAGGGTGAGGCCCTCCATGGGGGTGTCCGTAGTCTGTCATTTCATCCAGGGCAGGGCCTGGACCCTCCCCCAAGAGTTCAAGGTGAGAGTGCATCTTACATTGTTGGATGGGAGTCCAAAGTCCATTTGTATACCCGGGATAAATACTGATCTACTGCCCAAGGCTCAATAGATTACCTAGGCCTCCTCACTGACACCCACATTCAAGGGGTCTTGATCAGCATGCTGGATTCCCAGGCATTAGCCTGGGATTCAAGAGCTAACCCTTGTCAGGTCAGCTGTTTCTGGGGGTTAAACCAGCCCAATCTTAATCCCTTTGCTCATCAGTCCTCCCTCTCTGTTACTGGCTTTCATTTTGACTTCCAGGAATTCCTTATGCTCAGGAACATTAGTCACTTTTTTCTTTTTTCCTCTTTTTTTTTAAAAATTTAATTTAAATTAGAAACAAGTTTGCTTTACATGTCAATCCCAGGTCCCTCTCCCTCTCTTCCTCTCCAGCCTCCCTTCAACCCTTCCCCCAAACCCTCCCCCAATCCCCACTCCACTCTCCAAGGAGGGTGAGGCCCTTCATGGGGGATCTGGAAAGTCTGTCATATGATCTGGGGCAGGGCCTAGGTCCTCCCCCATGTGTCCAGGTGGAGACAGCATCCCTTCAGGTGGAATGGGCTCCCAAAGTCCATCTGGATGACAGGGCTAAATTTTGCTATATTGCCCGAGGCCCCAAAGAATGCTGAGGTCTCCTCACTGACACCTGCGTTCAGGGGGTCTGAATCAGTTCCATGCTGTCGTCTAACTCATCAGTCTGGGGTCCATGAGCTCCCCTTGGTTCAGGTCAACTTTCTGTGGGTTTCACCCGGCAAGTCTTAACCCCTTTGCTCATCAGTCCTCCCTCTCTGCAACTGGGTTCCAGGAGTTCAGTTCAGTGTTTAGCTGTTGGTGTCTGCCTTTGCTTCCTTCAGTCATTGGATGAAGGCTCTAGGACGGCACACAAGGAAATCATCAATCATGTTATCAGGGAAGGGCATTTAAGGCAGCCTCTCCACTATTGGTTTAATTGCCGGTTGGTGTCATCCTTGTAGCCCCTGGACATTTTCATGACAAACTGCCAGACACGAGCAACTTAAGAAGTGTTGTTTCTGATTCAGATTGAGGCTGTCTGTCATTCTTGGTAAGGAAGGCACAGTGGCAGGGGCTGGACAGAGCTGTCACACTGCATCATCTGGAGACAGGAAACAGACAGAGATGGATGGGTTCTGACGCTCCACTTGCTTCCTCTTCTTCATTCACTCCAAGATCCTGGCCTAAGGAATGCTGCCACCCACAGACACAGTGAATCTCTCCACCCCAATTAACCCAGTGTGGAAACTCACTCCGATACACCCAAACATTCTACACGCTTCTCTATGGGTTAGAGTCCGAATATAAAGGAGAACATGCTATTGTGTGCGGTTTCATTTTTCTCTGAGATTTTAAGACCTCACTTATTATTATTCATTCTAAGTACACCCTTTTCCTGAAAATTTTGTGATTATATTTTGTGGCTACAGGTTTCTAAAGGAATTCATCTGTGTGTTCAATATGTTTAAAATATATTTTGTGGTGCTGAGATGGCTTTGTCATTAAAGGCATCTGTTACCAATCCACATGACCTAGGTTTGATCCCCAGGATCAATGTGGTGGAAATAGTGAAATGACTCCCTCAAGGTGTCTTCTGGCTTCCACACCCATGCTCTGGTACACCCCCACCCCATATATATGGATAGAAACTTCATTGGAGCAAAACTTTCTTTATATGGCTTTTGTACATTTTCTGGCCTTTCCCTCTGCTATTGCAGGTAAGTAGTTTTCTTTTAAAATAGCTGTTAACTCATGATTGGTTAATGGAGAGACTATTCGTTTATTTAAACTAATTTTATATACTTCCAGCTTACAAAAGTGTTGTTGTAATGGTATTTTTTTTACCACCAAGTCTTTAACATATACAATAAGCTGCAACTGAAGTAATTCTATTTACTTGTTTCTAATTATAGCTTCAAATGCTGGTCTTAATTGGATTGCCTAGTACTACTGGAATTTCATTCCTGATTTTAGTGGAAATACCTAGAGTGTTTTGCCATCAAAAGAGATATTAGCTTTGGAGGTAACTGAGTGCACATAATTATGCAAAGGAAGACAGAATTCATCCTTTTTTATTGAGCTTTTAAAAATCAGTCATGGTTATTGTTTTTTCAGGTTTCCTATCATAATAAAAAGAAATGACCATGTGCTTTAAAATACAGATACAAATATTTAATATTATTCGATTTCTTAGTTTTAAATCTTTCTCAACATCCTAGAATGAACCCTACCTTATTTTGTGTATTTTGTTTAATATATTCCTGAATCTGTGTAAAGATTTTTTTAAAAAGAATTTTCCTCTCCATATTTTGAAGAAAGATTTAAATTTGGTTTTCTTTTATTGTTTATTATTTTCATCATTTTGTATTAGTTTCCAGTTCATGGAACTAACTGGAAAATTTCCTCTCTGTTTACATCAGTATGTTTTAAGTACCTGTTCTTTAAAGGACTGGTCCCACGTGAAATCACCCAGGTTTGCCATACTCTTGTGCCTTGCGATCTAGGGTGGTTGGGAAGGTATGTCCACTTGTGCCTCGATCCCAGAACTAGTTGTCTTGGATGACTATGGAGGGGTAAAAATCTCAAAGGCACGTGGGGGTAACGGGTGGTTAGAGTTCTTTAACGACACACTTGTTAGTGTGAGGATACACAGTGACAATGCTTATTTACCAAATTTAGGCAGATTGTGAACCTTCTAAACCCATCCCTGTGCTCTCCTATAAAATCCAGTGTTAGCCAAGAACCCTGCAAAAACCCCTCCCTCTGGGTCCCCCTCAACTGCTTACCTGACCAACTCCTCTACGGCTTCTCAGGTGGTGTCTGGAGCTTGTCCACTGTCATTGCCTGCAGCAGTCCTGTTAGGCCAGTTTAGGAAGACGTCCACCTAACCCGATGTAGTCTCTTTGCGGCTTTCCAGGCACTGTGGCCTCTGTTTCCTTTGCTGTCCCTTCCCATTTGCACAACTGTATTAGGAGCTGACCCCACCTCTTTCCCCCATCTACAAAATCCTATTTGTGTATCTGTAACGCTACCTATGGTGATGTTCTGATGCCTGACTGTGCCTTGTCAAGTGCATTGAATAGCTTTTCTAACTATAAGAGGATGGTGTCGTGTAATTTCAGGAAGAGAGGAAAGGAGGTCAGTGAGAAGCAGATCTGTAGCAAGAGGCTAAGGGGAGGCCGAAGCTGAGGAGGCAGGGCTAGCTGCTTCTTCCTGGCCACTTGCCTTCTGATTCTGCATGCCCATCAATTCTAGGGCCTTCTGTCCTGTTTTCACAGCCAGGAAGACAAAGAAAGATCTCTCATAGTCCACTGAATTTTGGGATCCAGGCACATCTCCTGAGGGCACTTGAGCAACAACCAAGTCACGAATCCTTGGCGTCAATGGCTAACAGCAACCCCCAGTGAATACAACTGAGGCAGGGGCTGTGAACAGATAACTGGGTATTGTTCTACATCTAAGCAAGTACTTCTTTTTGCGAGGGTTATTATTTTTTTTTTTCAAAACAGAATTTCTCTGTGTAGCTCTGGTTGTCCTAGAACTTGCTTGGTAGACCAGGGTGGACTTGAACTCAGAGATCTGCTGCCTCTGGAGTGCTGGATTAAAGGAGTAAGACACTACTGCCCAGCTAGGCAAGAACTTGCTGCCCTTCATAGGCAAATAGGAAATCCTCCCTAGCACCTACTCCCCAACCCCAGCTAGCTGCTCGAAGACTGACCCAAACTACATCGTCCTCTGTCCAATAGTCAGGAGAGACAAGAATGTGTGACTGTGTGAGTGTATGCCACATGTGTGCAGGTGCTGGCAGAGGCCAGAAGAGGGGATTTGGTCCCTTAGAACTGGACTTCCAAGCAGTTGTGAGCCACCTGATAGGGTGCTGGAACCAGCGTCAGGATCCCCAGAAGAACAGCACATACTCTTAACTGCTGAGCCCTCCCTCCAGCCACAGCAGAGAAGTCTTACATTTTTTCACATATATTTTTGCACATATGTGTATATGTGTGGGTGGATGGGTAGAGGTGTGAGGGTACCCACAGGCCACCCACTGAGTATGGAGGTCAGAGGACAGACAGGCTGTGGGAGTCAGTTCTCTCCACCCACCGTGTGGGTCCCAGTGATCATGCTTGCTGGTGCTCACTCTTGACTACTGCACCATATCTCCAGGTTTAACTTTACCTTTTAAAAACCAACTATTAAGTTTTTGCATTTCTCAAATGGGACAAGTCTTATTTCTTTGGCTTCTACCCACATCATTATACCAAAGCAGACTGTTCACTTTTGTAGTTGTTTTCTGTGAACTTCTACTACCTGGCCTGGAAGCTGTGGTTTATCTGCAAGTGTGGCAACATGCATCTTGTCCAGCCCCAGCGTCTTTCCCTGGACACATGTTGGGTCTTACTGCTTCTTCGACTGAAAGGCGTTTGGATGTTAAAAAGTAGTGGAGAAGCCAGGGGTTGGTGGCACATGCCTTTGATCCCAGCACTCAGGAGGCAGAGGCAAACAGATCTCTGTGAGTTCAAGGCCAGCCTGGTCTCCAGAGTGAGTTCCAGAACAGCCAGGGCTACACAGAGAAATCCTGTCTCGCAACATCAAAACAACAGCAACAAAATGTGTCGGAGATACATATTTATGTGAGCTTTGAAGGTTGGGCTTGAGTGGGTATGGAGAAGCTGGTAAGGCAAACACTTATCTAAGGGACTGGAGGAGGGGCATAGCGTGCTTGAGTCATAGTATAGATTTGCAGAACCCAGGGGAGGGAAGAAACTGATCTGAGACAGAGAACCCTGCATGCAGAGGAGAAGGACAGAGGCCTAGTCACTGAGAATGGTTTATGCCTTGGTGGAATGGGCAGGACACAGGGCTTTGAATGTCTCCCCTGCTGGGAGTGCAGATTTTCAGTACAACGTGGGACATGGCTGATACAGCTCTGTCAAGAGCCGAGGCAAGAGGTAAGTGTACCCCCTCCATCTCCTCTCCCCAATGGCTTTTCAGAGACCAAGCCTTGTCAATGATTAGAGTGCTAACTGATACTTGCTCACTCTTGTGTCTAGAGAGCCTGAAGCTCGCTGGGCACTCGGGAACTTTTAAATGGAGGGAATGAGGGAGGAAGGAAAAGTGTTCTTGTTTCACTTCTGTTGCTGCTGCCCTGACAAAAAGCAACTTAGAAGAGAGTTTGTCTTAGATCACAATGCCAGGGTTACTGTCTGTTACCATAGCAGAGACAAGGAGGCAGGAACCTGAAGCAGCCGTTGACATCATTTCCACGGTCAAGAGCAGAGGGAAGCAGATGAATGCGTGTCTAATAGTCATCTGGCTCTCTGTTCTTACATAGTCCAGGACCCTCGGGGAATGGGGCTACCACTTTCAGGCTTGGTCCCCCCACATCAATTAAGGCTAGCAACAGGCCAACCTGATCTAGATAGTCCCTCACTAAGAGGAAATAGATAGGTCAACAGTTGGGCCTAGTGAGTAGAAAGAGTTTTAGATAAGCATGACTAATGCCTTTCCTGGTCACCTCTGGGGCTCACTCTGCTATATTTCAACTCTCCTAGAGTCAACAGCTTGCAGGAAAACTTACTGTTGTTGTACTCTCAGCTAATTCTATTGCATTAGGGGAGCTGGCCATCGATGCACGTAAAGGCAAGCCTGGGTAATAATAGCACAAAAAGAGGAAGAGTTAAGGAGAGGCTCTCCTTGAAGAGAGAGTAGCTGCTTGTCCAGGGCCTTTGTCTCACCCATGGATTATCCCTAGCTACTAGAGTCTAAATCCAGTGACAGTCCCGTAAGTGCCCACACTGGTTTCTCTTGTGGCTGCACATTCTTCAGCAAGGCAATGTCAGGGGGCCTGACTCATCAGAAATAGTTCCTCAGAATCCTGCGTATCACCAGGTGCCCGTGGGTGCTTTACACAAAAGCTGCTGTCTCAAGAAGCGCATCAAGATAACGTAAAAACAACAGATTGACGGCAGTCACCGGAGAGCCATACACCTCTAACCACACATTTTGTTTATTTTTCACGGTGTTTCCTTTACGGCCTTTCTTGTGGCTCGCCCTATGCAGTTTGTGTACTTGCCAAGAGCATTATCTGTTTTAACGCTGCTCTTACCTAACTCAGTTTTTCCGAGACCCTCTTCTCACAGGCTTAGTTTCGCCTCACACCTGCAGCGGGCCAGTTTTCAGTCAGAGGGGAGGCCACATCTGCTTCCTGGGCGCCCTCTGGTCAGAAGCATGTATGGCTGGCTGTTGCTGACCTGGGTCCAGGGGCTGATACTGGCTGCCTTCCTCGCTTCAGGTAAGGCCTGCAGACCTAGCAGAGCAGGGAGGAGGGCCTGGCAGAGACCAGGGTGCTCAGGGAGAGAAGGCAGAGTGCAAGTCACATCCATGTATGTCGGGTGGTTCTAGGGCCTTCTGTGACCTTGTGGGAAGAGGCAGTTGCTGGGAAGGGCATGCAGGGGTGTTTGGACACCAAGAAGCTTCCTGGAAGCCCATTCTTCTCCCCCTCCATCTTCCTTTCTCTTTCCGAGGACCTTCTAGAAAAATATTCCGGCTGGTTCTCTGTTAATCAGAAATACCTGCTTCCCAGATTTTCGGGCTCTCCCACTAATACTAAATTTTGTTGTGTTTCTATTGTCTTAGAAACTGTAGGTTAACATTTCTGAGGGAAAGGAACAAAGTATTTAAAGACTATACTGCAAAGTCGTTTAAAGGCTGAAGTTATATCGCTCTGAAGGTAGACAGGAGCGGGGGGGGGGTAGGGGTGGGAGGAGAAGATGCTTTCAGCTGGGAGAGTCTTGTCCATCTTCTTCCCTGCCCTCTCTTGTCCTCCCCTCCTCTCCTCTCCCCTCCCATCCCCTCCTCTCCTTTCCTCTCTCCTCCCCTCCCCTCCCCTCTCTTCTCTCCTCCTCTCCTCTCCTCCTCTCCTCTTCTCCTCTCCTTTGCTCTCTTCTTCCCTCCCCTCCCCTCCTCTGCTCCCTCCTCTCCTCTCCTCTCCTCTCTTCTCCTCTTCCTCCTCTCCTCTCCTCTCTGCTCCCTCCTCTCCTCTCCTCTCCTTTCTGCTCTCTCCTCTCCTCTCCTCTCCTTTCTGCTCTCTCCTCTCCTCTTCCTCCCCTCCTCTCCTCTCCTCTTCCTCCCCTCCTCTCCTCTCCTCTCCTCTCCTCTCTGCTCCCTCCTCTCCTCTCCTCTCCTCTCCTCTCCTCTTCCTCCCCTCCTCTCCTCTCCTCTCCTCTCTGCTCTTTCCTCTCCTCTTCCTCCTCTCCTCTCCTCTCCTCTCTGCTCCCTCCTCTCCTCTCCTCTCCTCTCCTCTCTGCTCCCTCTTCTCCTCTCCTCTGCTCCCTCCTCTCCTGTCCTCTCCTCTCCCCCTCTCCTCTCCTCTTCCTCCTCTCCTCTCCTCTCTGCTCCCTCCTCTTCTCTCCTGTCCTTCCCTTCCTTCCCCTTTCCTTTCTTCCCTGTTACTCATCCCCTGCCTCTTTTACTACATTTGTTTCTTTGACAGACAGGGTCTCATTACATTTCTAAAGCTGGTCTCAAACTTACTATGTTGTCCAGACCGGTCTAGAACTCACTATGATCCTCCTGCTTCAACCTCCGATGTACTGGGATTAAAAGTATCTACTTCTACTCCTGGTTGAGCAGCAGGGTTTCTTGCCAAGTCTCCTTTCCCCTAGGATTTTTTCTCTTCCTCTTTCTCTCTCCTGAAGGTTTCTCCTGACATTCCAAATGGCAACCAAATAGCCCAGTTCTATTTCAAAGGGCAGATTAGACACAAGACCAGACTGCTGGAAACTGTAGAGCAGCAGAAGATTTGTGGGTACAAGGCTGATACCCTAGTTGGGAAGATTAAATAAGCTCATGAGAATAGTCAGCCACCTAGTCAGGAAGCTGCACAGAATGTCCTGAGCGGACAAAGTGCTGGGCCATGTGGCAATACGCCAGGTACTCCCTAAGGTGTTACAGAGCACAAGCAGTGAGAAAGGGGAGGTCTTTAAGGGGGTCCCCAAGGAGGTGGGGGTGCAGCTCTGACAAACAGTGAAAGTGAGGCAGTGATGGGCTGCAATAGATAGAGTACACGGGAAAAGGCCAGGAAAGCGGCCAGGGGTGGGACTTGGAGCCTTGAATGACAGGTGTAGTAAGGAAAGTCTCTGGAAATGAAGGAAAGAGGAAGCGATGATAGTCTCTGTGGGGGAATGCCAGGATAGATTGCAGACTATAGACTCTGTTTCTAGAGCCAGTTCTGGCCTCTGAACACCCTGGGATTCTTCAGGAAGGTTGAAGGGCAGCTGCTGGCTAAAGCCTCATGTGTGCCTCTCCCTCACCCACAGGAGCCACAGCAACTATGATAGAGACAAACAGGAACATTTCCGCAGAGGAAGGAGGTTCTGTCATCTTACAGTGCCTATTCTTCTCCAACACTTCTGAAGTGACTCAGGTCAACTGGGAGCAGCAGGACCAGCTTCTGGCGGTTTACAGTGCTGACCAGGGGTGGCATGTCTCTTCAGTCTTCAGTGAGCGTGTGGTTCCAGGCCCCAAACTAGGCCTCACCTTCCAGTCACTAACAAGGAATGACACGGGGGAGTACTTCTGCACCTATCACACCTATCCTGATGGGATTTTCAAGGGGAGAATATTCCTGAAGGTCCAAGAAAGCTCAGGTATGTCCTTTGAAGCAGGGAGGTGGCAAACCACTTTCTCTCACATAGAAAACACCATCCTGAGACACTCTGGGAGGTAGAGTGTCTCGATCCTGGAACACATCAAACTCACTGGAGGAGCTTTTGGGGCATGGGAAAGATAGAACGACTCAAGCTGATGAATCAAAACCTCTTGGGGGCAGAGCTACGATCTGATATGTTCCAGAAACATCCCGCTGAGTCTCATGCACAGCCATTGATTTTACATAGGAAGTACATCTTATCTAAATTGATAAGACCCGTGGATGAGGTCACACATGAAAGGTACTCATCTCATGATTTAGTATCAGTCATGCAGACTAGAATTAGTTCTTAATTTCAGAGCTGATTTAAAACAAAGCACAGCCTGTGCCGAGTGCAAATGTATAATATTCACCCACCTTTGTATGATGAAGCTTCAAAGCTTCCAGACATTCTCGTAATGATTATTTTTGGGCAAATATGAGCCAATTTTACTGAGGGAAAGGATTACTAAAAGCACATTTGAGAGATAGTTTAGCAGGGTAATAAAGTGCTCAGCCTCTGATGTCAGACAACTTGGGTCCAAACCTTGCTGTTGGCCTCAGACAGGAATTTAATTCCTGTGTATCACTTTTCTTATCTGTGTGTGAGGATGGGTCTAAGGCTATATGAGGTGCTATTGTAGGGTTAAACAACCTACTATACAACAAAAAGCCCTTAGTACAGTTCCAGGGATATAGCATGTGCCATGTTAGGTATTGACCATGAGTATGATTCACATCTAATTGATGGTGACAGAAGCTAATTAAGGTTTGGGATTATTCAGGGTAGAAAGCTGATGTTAACACAGAGGTCCGGCTTTGTGACATGCTACACTCAGTTTACGTGGAGAACATAGGTACATTGAAATTATATTGCAGTTTAAATTTCATGTACATCAAAATGATAAAAGTTTACCTTAAAGCTTTTAAATATTACTTCTTGGCTGGCTCCATCATATTAAATACAACGAGTATCCAGGAGCCCATGTTCTAGAATCACACAGCCTGGGACTAAATGTTGTCATATGCTCTGGGTATCTGTGGTATTTAAATTTTTCTTTTATTTTTGACCTATGATGTATGTAATCATCTCATAAGTGGTTACAGATAAGATCTTGGGACAGTGTTGTGTGCCACACTTATTCAAGGGAGGCTTCACAATAAGGAGGACAGGAGCTCTAGGTCACAGTAAGTCTAAGCATGTGGTGACAGTGACAAGTGTGGGCTCTTTACCCCAATGTCATATTTCCCAGAGCCTCTCATTACACTGAAGAACCAATAGACTGAGGCCTCCAAACCATAAGCCAGACAGAAGCCATGTGTGTTTGCTCATATTTGGGCCAGGACACTTTGTCTGTTGCATGCGTCCCTCTCTAACGTCTACCCCAGTCCTGTTTCTACCACCTCTAAAATTGTAAACACCAGGGAACACCAATGGTCCAGTGAAATTCCCTTCTTGATCTCAAGGAGTGAGCTGTTTACCTTAAGGCAAACCCTCCTCTAATTGTTTACATCAACTGTGTCCCTGCTCTCCTACTGACACTGATCTCAAATACTGACCCAAGTCCCTAGTAACTATATTATAGAAACTGTTCTCTGACCAGAGCTGGAGATGTAGCTCAGCTATAGAGTGGTTGCCTCGCATGCACAGAGCCCTTGGTTCAATCCCTGGTGCCACAAAGAATACCGAATCTCTACTGAAGATTATATTCCTTCCACACCTGCACATTTCCCTGAGGCCCTTACAGTTTCAAAGACCTTGAAGTCTTTGTTCTGAAACCATAACTGTAGATGGGAGAATTAGTGCTTTCGTTTTAAACCAAAAATTAATAGCGAAGTCGGCAATTTTAATTATCCCAAATTCCCTCTGCCTTTAACTGTACCTTAACTCACCCTGAAACCCAATCACATTCATTGTCATAATCTTCCCTAAAATTCCATGGGTCTAGCTGCTTCTTGTTTCACCCCTCAGCTTTTAAGAGTCTAGTACTAACCCGGCTTGCAAGGCGGTTTTGCCCTCCTCCTCTGACCACATCCTCTCCTTTCTCCATAGTGAGCCCACTGCACCCCTGCAGTGTGCACACGGTGGTCTTCTGTCCCCTTTCTTCCTGAGTGAGCCACGGATATGTCCATCAGATGGCCAGCCTGGCCTACACTGTCCTCAGAGCGGGAGGAGCATGCCAGGCATGGTTTTTATCCTGAGGGATCAGACACCACAGTCTCCTTTCCTACAATCGAAACCTGGAGTTCAGGGAAGTGGGGCTATGCCTTTTCTTGTTTCAAGTCTTCCCAGGACTCTGAGTCCCTGGAGAAGAGGGGAAGGTGGGAGAAAGTGCCTAGAAACTATCCTTCAACACACCACAGCTATTTATTTAGCATCTACTATGTACCAAGGACTGAGAAAACAGCAGAGGGTAAGGTTGCAAGAGCCTCACTCCTTCCGGGGTTTCAGATCTGGGCTTTAGGGCTAAGGTGAAACGTCGTATGCTTTTTTCTTTCCATAGTTTGGTTTCTATTTTGTATTAACCAATTTTTACTACTGTGTGTGTGTGTGTGTGTGTGTGTGTGTGTGCACACATGTGCATGCGTGCTTATGAACGATGAAAGAAAAAAATTAACTTCCTGAGTTTCCTTTTGCTTTTATTTTATTATAGATCTGTTATTTGTTTCTTTATTTTATGTGTATGAGTGTGTTGGCCTCATATATACCTGTGCAGCACCTGGTTCTGGTGTCTGTGGAGGTCCAACAAAGAGTTTGGATCCTCTGGGATTGGAGTTACAGACGGTTGGGAGCTGCTGGGGGTCAAGCCTGGGTCCTCACAAAGAGCAGTCTGTGCCCTTAACCACTGAGCCATCTTCAGTCCCTCCCCCAGTTTCCTTTCAGACAGCATTATTTCATTTCATGAGTTCTGAAAACCAATTGTTGACTAGGGGAAAAGATTACAAAAAGTGGTCCAAGGTAGACACAAGGTGTGTCACTGCTAGGGAGATCAGCCACCAACTCCCCTGGGGACCAGGGAGATGCTCTGCTGACCAGAGAGTTAAGGTTGAAGATTCCAACAGAAGACAGTTCTAGCAAATCCTACCTCTGGCCTCCAATCCCCATTTGAGGCTGACCTCAAATCAGAGATTGCCTGCCTCTTGATGCTCAAGTGCTAGATCAAAGCTATGCATCCCCGTAACTGGCACTGGTTTTTTAGACAGTCCAGGCTTCCCCAGAGCAGGCAGTTTTGCTTCTGACCTCTGTCACTCACCCCTGTCTTGTTCTCCCTGTAGCGGCTCAGTTCCAGACTGCATTGCTTGGAGGAGCCATGGCGGCTGTGCTGGGACTCATCTGCCTAATGATCACAGGGGTGACTGTACTAGCTAGAAAGGTAAGGGATAGCCACGCCCATCCTTGCCACCTTGGTGACTTCTGATGCCCTCTGTACCCAGAGAGCCCCAGATGTGATCTCTGCCTTTGTGCCTTTTCTATGGTTCTTTTTCTGCGGTTTAACACACTTCTTTATTTATGTTCATTCGGGTCCCTCCTCCAGGCTGGGAGTTCCCAGAAGGACAACCCTTATCTTTATCCCATCTCTCTGTCCAGCATAGTTGCTAGTTCCTGTCTGCCCCCTAAGCCACTGCTCTGAGAGTGCACCTACTGTGAGTTTGGTGCATTGTCGAGGTTCTTCTGTGCTCCATGCTACTGTAGGTTGAGAAATTGGCATTTGGGAAGTTGAAGACACACATCAAAATCAGACATTTGCTGACTTGAGTTTAAGAGGCCATTAGCTGAAAGAGTCGAGGAAGGGGAGCCAGAGAGAGGGTTTAGTGTCTAGCTGGGCACTGACTGTATGAATTTAAGCTTGTTACTTAAGTTTTCAAGATCTCCATTGCTTTGCATGTAAGATGGGGGCTACAGTTTGGTGCTCTGTCACAAAGTTGGGATACATAGTTGTCATGCATCAGGCTTTTCTCGGGAATGGAGGAAGGTATCAACATTCTTGCTGTGTCATAAGCTGGTAGCTACTGATTGGGATGAACTAAAAAGTTCTCAAACAATTTTGGTCTGGATCCCTGGGCCCTTTAAGCCAGCCCAGCTCAGCTACTTCAGTCCACTATGAAAGCATTTTAGGGAATGCAGCCTGAGAATCATGCACTGTTTTCTACTTTTTCTGAAACCTCCTTCACTTGCCCACCGTGTTTCCCAATGCCTCATCCAGGTCAGGCACTTGGCATTTACTTATAAAAAGTGCACTGAAATATTTAAAGTAAGACATAATCACATCATCCCCCTTCCTCCCTCTAGCTCTCCCATTTTCCTTACCACCTTGACTCCCCCTTCTTCTCTAATTGTTGTTACCTACATTCCTGAGCGTAGAAATACCTGTCCAATATGCATAATGTTACTTGAGTATACATGATTTCAGGGCTGACCATTTGGTATTTAGGTCTAGTTACTTTATTTTATGTGTATGGTGTTTCACCTGTATATATGTATGTGTACCATGAGTGATGCCCAAGGAAGTTCGAGGAGAGTGTCAGATGCCCCGGAACTGGAATTAACGGCTGTCTGTGAACCACCATGTGGGTGCTGGGAATTAAATCCGGGTCCTCTGCATGAAGAACAAGTGCCTTTAACTGCTGAGCCATCTCCCCAACTTCACATCTGCTGTCCTTTCCCCCACCCAGGTTTGCTGTTCTGTGAAGCAAGGTTCATTTTACTAAATAAAAGACCTACTTGTTAGTGATGCATTCTTCTGCTGTTATTTTAGTGATTATATTAGGCATTATAAAATGTACTTGGACTTATTCAAGTTCTGCTATGTTAGTAGTAATCAGTGTCCTGTGGCTTCCTGGGATATGCACGAACTTTAGACTGTAGCAGTTATGCCTACCGGCCTCCACCACATGGCTCCATCATCACCTTGCCGTTTAGTCCTTTCCATTTTTCAGACCCACACACGTGGTTATTTTGTGAGTTCACACGCTGCTAGGTTCACCCCTCCCGTTGCTCTTCTTTCTGGCCTCCCTGTCCAGGCTTCCAGCTGCCATGTGTCTTCTGCCTGAGGAGCATCCTGCAGTGTTTTTGCAGTGCAGGTCAGCAAAAGCAAAGAATTATTTTGCTTCTTTGTTGTTGTTGTTCTCCTAAAACTTGTTTACCCCACTGCTGTAAACACGGTATGCTTGTTTTGTAGAATCTTGTGTCATTACTTTCTTTTAGCGCATGGAAAATATTATCCCATTGTCTAACTTCATAATTTTCTTTTGGAAACTGGGCTTTATCCTTACTTTTTAAAAAATGCCTTTCCTCCTTCTTGTTCTTTTAACATTTTCTGTCTTCAGTTTTCAGCATTTGTACAATGATATAATTGGATGTCATTATCTTTGTATTTATTCTGTATGGGATTTGGATCGAGTGGGTTTTTTTTCAGTCTGTTGTTTGATGGGTTTTTGTCAGTTTTGGGGTCAATCCTGGCCATTTCTCTTTATATATTCCTTCTCTATTCTTGCTGTCTTCTCCTTCTGGACCTCTCTCAGGGACTTTCAGCGCTTCCCTTTGCTTCCATATGTCTCCTAGTCTCTTTTGTGTTTTCTGCCCATTCGTATCACCATGCTTTGTGGTGGGTCTTTTCTTCTAGTTTACCTTTCAGGTTACCAAGGATCTCCTTTGATGTATCTATTCTTTGTTTAAATGGTTTATAGCCTGTCAACCCTTCTAACCTTTGAGCATATTTATCAGTTATTCTGGTTCATGCCTGACCATCCTGTTAATTATACCCTACCTGGGCTTTTTCTGTTGTCTGTTTTTATTTGTTTATCAGCCATATGTTGTTCTCTTGCCTGGTAGTTTTCATGGCATGCTGGACATTCTCCATGAAACACTACAGTGTCTTCTTCCATTCTGCCCTTTGTAGCTAGTAGGTGGCTATTTTCAGATGTGAGTGATCCCAGGTCACCTGAATTAAAGCAGCAACAACAGATTGTAATATTTTCCTTATTGTGTGATAAAGTGCTTGATGACTATTTTCAGGTGTAAATGATCCCAGGCTACATGAATTATATCAGTGATGACAGGTTGTAATGCTTCTCTTATTGTTTGATTAAGTGCTCTAAAGAAATAGCTTAAGGTAGGGAGTGCTTATTTTGTCTCTTGGTTTGGAGGTTGGTTAGTTGGTTAGTTGGGGTTCTATTGCTGTGAAGAGACACCATGAACATAGCAACTCTTATAAAGGAAAACATGTAACTGGGGCTGCCTTACATTTCAGAGGTTTGCTCATGGCAGGAAGCATGGTATCATGCAGGTAAACACAGTGCTGGAGATTTATCCTAGATTTCTACATCTGAATGCACAGGCAGCAGGAAGAGAGTGTCATACTGGACCTGGCTTGAGCATCTGAGACCTCAAAGCCCACCCCTAGTGACACACTTCCTCTAACAAAGCCACACTTACTCCAACAAAGCTATACCTCCTATTGGTGCTACTCCCTATGAGCCTATGGGGGCCATTTTCTTTCAAACTACAGTCAGTGATGATGGGGAAGGTGTGGACAGCATCAGAAATGTGAGGTGGCTGATTACAGTAGGAAGCAGAGCCAGATGAATGCTGGTGTTCCATCACCTTTCTCCTTCTCATTTGACCCAGGATCCTTGACCACAGGGATGGTGCTGAAGTAGAATAACATAGAAAAGACCAATTATTAAATGCTAACATGCTGATTTGTTTAGTGATTTACTTAAAGCACTGCTCATAATGCCAAGTATGACATCACTAGCTAGCTGGAACAGAACAGCCTAGAGAAGTAGTTAAAACAATGGGTCATTGCCCTTAACAACTTATTATGTACCACATACTTCTGTAAAATCTTGCTTTCCCACTCCACCTTGTGGTTTTAGAGTATAAAAAGAGAATACAAGTTGGACCTGGTACCAAAGGCCTTTAAGAGCTGTCCTGGCTTCAGTCCACTGGTGACATTTCCTCTCTTCCATTCAAACTGGCGTCAGAATGGTATTCTAGAAACGATTCCCAAAATTGGGCCATCCACATTCAGGGCAGGTCCTCCCAACTCACTACAACCTCACTGGAATGCCCATATAGAAGTCTGCCAAAAGTCCATCAAACTAACAGTCAAGGTTAACTATCACAGGCTTTGGGCCTTCATTTCAATTCCTGCTACTTCTCACCCCTAGGGTGTAGTCTTTGAGATTGTCAGTGGAAGGAAAGGCCTCAAGTGGTTTTGTTTGTTTGTCTGTTTGTCTCGTCAAAAGTTTCCTTTCATGGTTGTTTCTGAATTCCAATTTTATTTTCTCTACCCAGAAATTCTGTGTAAGTTACCAGTCTCTAAACTATAATTTGCAGTGATTTCCTCCAGAGAAACTGTACCCAAATGCTGCTTTAAAACAAACAAACAAACAAACACAATGCAGAGCAACCTCTACCACAAACACCCCTCCACCTCATACCCATAACCCCTCTAAACCCAGAATCTCACTATGTAACTGAGACAAGCCTGGAATTTTTAATCCTCCTGCCCCAACTTCCTACGTGTTGAAATTACAGGTATGAACCACCACATCTGGTCCAAAAGTTCATTTTCCGAAGACTGAAAATTACTCAACTGGCAGATATCTTATTTCTTCAAACATTTTCCAATATTTCATCTATTTTTTCCTCTTTCGTTTGTGTGTCCATGTATATTGTTGCATATGTGGGCATTCAAGTACAGATGTAGATATATGAATGTGTGTGTGTGTGTGTGTGTGTGTGTGTGTGTGTGTGTATACATAAGGTATCTCTCTCAATTGCCCTCTACCTTAAATATTGAGGCAAGGTCTTTCACAGATTCAGTTAGTCTAGTTAGGCACCTCGCTCCAAGCATCTGTTGTCTCTGCCTTGGAGTGGTAACTGTTGTGGGCAGGTTACACAGCCACTCTCCCGTGCAATCCAGAGTTTTACCTGCTGAGCCACCTCCCTTATATTTTTATTTTGACTTGTTTTCAAAGAAAGGGGATGTTCAAACCAGCAGAGGAATTTCTGTTTTTTGATGTTATATTTTGTATCTTCATTCTAAGATTTACTATGAAGTCCAGACTTGGCAGAGCTACCTTCTTGGTCTTTTGGTTCTGTTGGGTCAAGCCCACTGCTGAGTTTATTCCCACCCCATCACCCCCCACGTTCTGGCCAGTACTCATCTTCTGTCTGTTTGGTCCAGGCCTAGGGAGGGTTAGGTTAGGGTTGAGTTAAGGAGGGAGAATTCTCTTTCCCTCACTCTGAGTTCATGGCCTCTCTTTCACTTAGAGGGAGACCACACTGTTTTTCTTTTCTTTCTAACTTAGCATTGACTTTTTCATCCTATGAGGATCTTTCTTCATGCCACAGTTGGGACAAATT